GCTAAACTCGTCAACCTGTCCTCGTCCCCACCCACATAGACTTGTTCGGCTGAAGGCATATTGTTAAGTTCCTCTTTAGTAAATACAGATACAAAATATTTATTAAAAATACTACTCATCTCTTCATCACTATCTGTTATTTGACCTGTCTCAGTTTTTAATGGACCTATCCTTTCCCTAGTCTTGGTACGATATAACTGAAAAAACCCTTTAGGATTTGTCTTTGCTTGCCCTGCTATGCGAACTTCATAGTTTCTTTTGCTTTCCTTATCTCTTTTTAACATTTCTAACCAGTTGTACGAATTCCTGTTCTAAAGTGACCTCCCCATTTTTAATCCTTTTGTACCAAGCTCTCTTTTTACCTATAAGGTTCTTCAAATTCTTTGTTATCCACTTTGGGTCATTAGTATACGATCTATTCAATTTGTATGGTATACTACGTTCCTGTGCTTTGTTTAGAATATTCTTAAATAAGTTATATATTGAATCCACATCGAAATCCCCATTTAAGTCACCTATCGCTGGGTTCATGTCTCGCTCCAAGACCGGCCCACACCCCATACCCAAGCCTTTCCAATCAATTTGACCCAAAAAATTTCTTAGGCTATTAAAATCAGCTTTTCGGAAATCTGGCACTTTAACAGAATTTTCTCCTACTGGTCTATTCCATTCTATGCTAAATCTGATTTCTTTGTGATCACTGCTCCCTAGCTCACTCCCTATTTCGATGTCATTAATTTGCGTTTCCCTGTTAGTTAACACTAAATCTAAAATATATTTTCCCGTGTTGGTTCCTTAATGTGTTGCGTAAGAAAGCAATCGTCAATTAATTCTAGAAAATCTTCTGCTTCACTATTCCCTGTTTTGTTCAACCAGTTTATTCCGCTAAAATTAAAGTCACCCATGACATAAATACTGTTAGATCTAGATGCTCTAGATATTTCATCCCATAGATGCTTTGCTTCCATTCTGTCTAAATTTGGTGGCCTATATATTACTCCTATTATAATATTATTAGCTTTTTCGTTTAATTCAATCCAAATAGTTTCTGTGTGTGGCTCTGTTTTGATTCCCTCTTTGAGACTACATTTCAAATTGTCCCTAACATATATGGCTACTCCACCTCCTCGTCTAATATATCTATCTGTGTGAAATAGTTTAAATCCATATATTTGATATTCAGCTAATAGTTCTCTATTTTCTACATTCATCCACGTTTCGGTAAGTGCAATAATATCTATTTTTTCTGTGCAGACAAGAGCATTTAATTCGTTAATTTTATTTCTTAGACTTCTACTGTTAGTGTAATATACCCTAAGTGAATTGTTATTTTGCGGACCTTCTCTTTCCCTGATCGTTTTGCCAATTCCTTTCTCCCACAAACATCACTTCAAGTTGATCTAGATAGGGTTTTGAAATGGTCAAAGGATTGGCAGATGCAGTTTAATGCTGATAAATGTAAAGTTCTGAGGTTAGGTAATGATGATAGAGTTACAAGATACGAGCTAGATGGTGTTGTGATTGCGAAGTCGGATTGCGAAAGGGATCTGGGAGTTATGATTAGTAAGAATTTAAAACAAAAGGATCAATGCATAAATGTTCGTAATAAGGCAAATCGGACACTTGGATTTATTAATCGCAGCGTTAGTAACAAGACACCTGGTGTGGTTCTCAAGCTATATCTTGCTCTAGTTAGGCCCCATTTAGATTATGCAGTTCAGTTTTGGTCGCCATATTATAGAATGGATATAAATTCACTTGAACGTGTCCAGCGTAGGATGACTAAGTTAATTCCCCAAATTAGAAATCTTTCATATGAAGAAAGATTAACAAAGCTTAAGTTGCATTCACTGGAAAGGCGAAGAGTTAGGGGTGACATGATAGAGGTTTACAAGTGGATGAATGGACATAACCGGGATGTATTTCTTTCTTGTCTCAATAAACATACTTGAACTTGAACTTGAACAGGACCACATACAGCAAGTGGCACAGATTAATGGATGGAAGCGGCTGTTTTTTCCCTCGACATGTCCACTAACTTTTCATCAGAAGCTGGAGTGGACCCGTTCAATTGGTCAAGGAATTTGGTAAATATGACCTATTATTTAAGGAGGGTGTTCACCGGCCCTACACAACGGTTGGGACACAAGAGGCAGTGGAACATCTAACGGCAGACGGATTTAAGAATATTGTTTTGGTTACTCCTGAAGAGAGAATAATTTACACTAAAGTTTTCGTTTTTAAGTATCCGACATACTTGGATCCTGAATTTCTTCATCCCAACAATGAGAGTGTTGTGTGAGCTAAGATAAACATTGTGAAAAAAGTCAGATTGTTGCCTTGTTAAAGGATGAGGCTCCTGAAAGACTTTTTGTTCAAGGACTTGGATACAGGAAGGTGGCAAAATATATTGAGGAGCCTACATTATGCATGAAGTGTTCTCGTTGGGGACATATTGCTTGGAAAGGTTTGACCCCAGATGTTGGTATGTGGTAAGAAGCATGACTCGCGACAGTGTTGAGTTAGGATTGACACAGGACAAAAATTTGTTTCTTGTGTCAAAAAACTTGCTGCAATTGTCGAGGCATCCACAATGCTGATTCCTCTCTCTGTCCCCATGAAACCCCGTGTGAGAGATTCCAAGTCGGCACCCTTAAGCAGGGTAAACGAAGCTCCGAAGGCAAGATCGTACAGTCTGAACAAGGAAGAAACAGGGAAAGACAACGATTGCCTATGTGACCAACTTAAGGGAGAAAGGCACGGCGACGATTAAGGATAGCCTAGTGGCAGTAAGCAACGAATCCGAAAAAGTGTATCCTAGTGGGGATGAGGTACAGGGCAGCGTTGTGGTTTCTGCGGTCGGAACACAAATCTTGGAATACCTCAAAAAGTTGGACAAGAAGATTGAAGCTCTAGAAAAAATTAGCTATGGCAAACAGATGATGTGAAGTAGGGAGTGAAACGGAGGGGGAAGAAAGTAAGGCAGAGGTTGGCGTATCACGGATGGAAGCCTCAGAAAAATGAACTACCACTAACGATGGCAGTGTTCAACCCAGTGTGGTGGAAAATGTTGACGGAGAAGCTCAGTAAAAATGGTTTACAAAAAAACAATTTGAAGACATTGTTAAGAATAGTTACCATCAACCTTTGATGGTAGGTGGATGTGTACAAGTGCTGAGCAAGAAGAAATTTCAAAATGTTGGGAGTCTCTGACTAAGACCATATTTCTGCCCAATCAGTCACTTACAATGTGGGGAGGCTGTGGACAAGGCGATGTCGATTATCAATGAATTGACAAACCCCAGCAAAGTTAAGGGTCTGGGAACATATAGGGAAAAATTACTGCATCTACTTTATATTCCTCCCATGTTAATGTTAATTGTTTCTTTGGCAATGAAATACATTCTTGAAGGACATCATGCTTTGTAACATTAAGACATAGGGATCTTGTTATGCTTTCACATGCATTATTCATTTCTTCCTGCCATTTGAAGTGAGAGGATTAATTCATTAGCTCCCTCGCCTCTCATTAGTCTAATCGTCGAAGCTTCATTTATCTCTGAAATTCTATCCCAAATACTCTGTAAGTTTAATCATATCATCATTATCTCGGTAATGTTGACCAAACCACACACTAGAAAGTGAAGGGACGACGACGTTTCGGTCCGTCCTGGACCATTCTCAAGTCGATTGTGAGAATGGTCACAATCAATATGAGAATGGTCCAGGACGGACCGAAACGTCGTCGTCCCTTCACTTTCTAGTGTGTGGTTTGGTCAACATATTTCAGCCACGTTATTGTGACTCCTCGTCTGCATTTCAGAAATAGTATTTATTGGGCTATGAGAATAATTATTCTCATAGCTTTATTTTGTACCTTCTCCAACTTGTTTAATCTGCCTTCACCAAAACAAGAAATGACAGGGGTACCATAATCAATAAGAGATATCACAGTATGCCATGTGATTACCATTGGAATGTAAAATAATAATAAAAATGATAATAATAATAATAATAATAATAATAATAATAATAATATTTTATTTAGGAAAAGTACATACATAGATGCAGAGTTACAAACATAATGTTGGATTTATAGATAGAGCTAGTACATACAATACCTAAAGCCACTAATACGCATAGCGTTTAAGGCATTGTATGTACAAGGTGCAAAGACATGCTACTAAGTGGCTCCCAAGTGATTAATAAGAGTCCGTATGGTGATTGATAAAGATTAAGCCACCCAAGAGGTGGCACGGGCATGAGTAGCCCGTAATACTATATGGTTTGTGAGCCCCTTATATAGACGAGGGTAGAAACAGCCTAAGCTACTCTATCCTTTTGAGATGTACTTACTTTTTCTCAATAAACTTACTTGAACTTGAACCAGTGTGGTTTAGGCTTGGAGTTGAGCTCCAGGCCTACCAACTCTCTGAAGTATTATTAAAGTCCAATCATCAAGTATAATTTAGTCCTCATCATAGTCCAAGATCAAAGTACACTCATTTTACTCACCGAATATATATATATTGCATTTGTTGACCTACAACCATATTGTAAATTATTTTTATTTTTTTGGCTGATACGTAAGCAATATATAATTTATACATAGAGGCGCACCTTCCGCTCCTCGGTGTATATATATATATATATATACACTGAGAGTTTACTTTCGTCCTAAATATCTATAAGGTTAAAGTATACTTTCAGGTTGGTCAGTAAGTGGCCTTAATTACTCTCCAGACTTAATAGGTTTTATGTACAGCAACTAACCCAAATCTAATTCAGAATCATACGAAACAATTATGTATATTAAGTTGTATAATGATAATATACAGCGATAATACGCTCGCAGTTTGACTCAAAATGAAACGCAAAATAATAAACATACTAAGATAGCTTATGGCGCCCTTATCAGCTAGAACAAGTAATCGGCAATTATGTGTTGATTCACTGCCTCGAGGTCTACAGTTGGCAGCCTGAAACACCGGGTCAGCAGTCTTACCACGCATTAGGCGAGCGGAACGGCTCTCAGTACCTCGTCTGGTCGCGTTGTGTGTGGTTCAGCCAAAGAACTGCTTTCAGAAGTTGAGTTTTTAAATTATTTAACTAACGTCATGGCGGAAGCTGTTGTATCCAATGTACGCTATCTTGCAAACGCGCTTGAATCTCCTACGGTGGAGTGTAGTGAACGATCACCTTCCGTCAAAGATATCGCGGATTATTTTACGTTTGATGTACGGAAGGTGAAGCATGTCATGAAGAGTCGAAAGGAAGGGAAATGGAGAAGATTGAGTTACGACTTTGACGATCAGAGTGCACGGAACAGTATGAAGAATCGACTGACCCGCTTGTTGAGTGTGGGCTCTGGACACGTTACAAATGAGGAGACGTGGCTGCTGTCACGGCGGAGGAGCCGGCTCCACCCCTCTCAGCCACAGGTGAGGAAATGGTTCTTTAACTTTTTAGTTTGTCAGTCAATCGACATTTGTAATGTTCGTTCCATACTTGACGGTGTACCTCAATCCTGAACATGGGGTAGACTAGTGTACAGTATACATACAGACGCTATGGGGATACTGCTCGTTGAATGTCTTTTTAAAACTTTGGGACTTGTGGCGTGAATTTAAACCGCTCTACACTTGGAAAAAAAAAAATTAACTTTTTTTTTTTTTTTTCTCTTCCCCTATGGATCACTTGCGCAAGATCTTGAAGGGCTCGTCAGATGTTCTAGATTCAGCTACTCGGAACACGTTCAAAGTAGCACGGGCTATGGTGAGCCCGTAAGCTCGTCAGAGTTGTATCTTGTAGTGAGCGGATATGGACACTTGAGAAATTTTGGGATGTTTACTCTACTTCCTTTGCAAAGTTGTATAATTATAGCCATCTCTCACTCCAGCCCATCCTCGCAAAACTGAAGTATTTAGTAATATTTTAAGTGTACAAATATGGACGTAAAAGAAAGTAAACTTTTATCTTAAATTTGGACAAACTTTTCAAATTGCTAGTGGAACATTAACTTAACCAATGTAGATCAATTACACTGTTTGAGGACTAATAGCGCGTGTGCAGTATTAGACCTAGGAAAATATTGTTGTGGCTTTTAGCTTTTTCCCTAACTAAAATAAATGGGTACTAAATTCCGCTTGTCTATTACGTCTATATATGTAAAAATGTCCACATGCAAAATGTCTGATCTTATCAGGAGGATTGAGCAACAAGAACCTTCATGTTGGTAAGCAACAATTCTTGCCACCTCCCCCCCCCCCCCTCCTAAAGCCAGGCTGCAACCCATCCTCCGAATTGACAGTACGATTAAAAACTAAAATTAAGTGAAATAAGTACTCTTACCATCATAAACGGTGCATAATTGCACTTTATGGGGCTGTTACATTTACCCAACTCCCTCCCCCGATTTAATTCTCGTTTTCTGTTAAGACTCTGAAATTTAGGACGTTTTCAATTTCACTTTGCAATACACAAGTTTTAAATATCAGGAATTTTTTTTTCAGCTTTATTAAGATATAGATTGTATACAAAATTTTAAGATCCTGAGTTTACAATTTATTGATATATTTTAATTTTGTTTTATTAGTTCTATAAAACTGTAATATCAATAGTACTTAACCTATAGCCGATTGTAATTAAGAAACAATAAAATTATCTTCATAAACTAAGACGGTTAGGTGAGGTCGTGGTTTTCTATTCAGTTTTTCAGGTAAACTCAAATATTCACAATATATTTGACAGTATGATTTAATACTAAGTGAAAATAAGTAAAATTCCTAACTGCTATGAACAGTACATAATTGCACTAATTTGTCTCCTTACATTTACCACCCCATTTTTGGAGGACGTGCTGCCAGATTGCCTGCTGCCGGCGAGCTAGTTATTACATTAACGTCCGAAACCCATCACCAAAGCTATCGGCCTCGGGAAGATAAAGACCACTACCTGCTTATTGACGAACTAGCAGAAATGTTAATACGGCACGTAGTCAGTTTATAGTAGTATATATATCTATTTCTATATGGTTATACAGATTATATCAATGAAGTGCACCCCCCCCCCAGTAGTGGGCTGTAGTCACTGAAGCCCGCATTAAGTTTACGCTCTTGGCAAGCTGCACAAAGTCGCCTGCGGCTTCGTTAACCTCTTGGGACAGATGCGCCACATGCCCGAAACTGCGCATTATTGGTTTTTGGTAGTCTTAAGGCAAAGTTGTTAAAATTGGAACCGTAAGTTGTATTAATTGGGTGCACGAAGCTTGTGAAAGTCGCTAAAATTTAATTGCATTAGTTTTAATTTAGTCGGGTTTGTCATCTGTACAGTCATTTAGTCATCAATTACGTAATTTTTAGTAGTGACGTAATTGATAACGGGTAATTATATTAATCTTTCCTTACTTTTGTGCGAAACTATTGGGGAAAGCAAAATTTACTAAATGGCGTATTTTACGGCAATAATTTTCCATAGTTTTGAAGAATGTGGTTATGGCTTTTAACGATCCTTTACTCAGTATGGTAAATAGGCGAAAGGAACCGTCTTGCTAACCCAGTCAACGACCAACTTGTATTGTGGGACAAGTCTAATATTGCAAACTCGGTAGATAAATTTACTAAAGTTTTTAGAGCAATTTATAAAGTCACGGCGACGTTATCAATCTGATCACAGTACAATAGTACAGTATTTTGGGTGTTTATATAAACAGATTTAATCGGTTATCCCATGGATTAAATGAGATTGGATATAGATATTTTGTACTTAAATTGTATTCACTTACGCGGCCGCATCCTGTGGACGGTAGTGAAATGGTAAGGCCTACAATGGTCTCGAGCCTAACCCCCAAATCTAGTGAATTTACTAGTTATATTAATGTAGCTAGATCAATTGTGCTAAGACTTGTAAAGACCTGGATTAAAGGTGTAAATTATCGCAATTTGACCAGCGAGGGAGCTGCAAGGGTTTGAGCGTGGTTGGTAGATTAACGCTCTGGTCAACGAGCAATTAGAGCTTGCTGCTGAGGTTTAGCTTTTCAAAGCACTCGTGAAGTTCTTGAACGGCACGCAAATTTGTAAGAGCTAATTATTAGCATAATTTAACTTATTATGGCTCGGTCTAAATTACGGAATTCTATAAACCTTGAAGTCTGCTGAAGTGCGTCCTGTAGCACTCTTTACAAAGGGATTTAGGGCGCCAACAGTTTAACGATGTTATTTTGAAGTTCCTCGTCGTGCAAGAAACTAACCTGTGGAGGCAGATGCATGGAAACATAAATATTATGGCCCTTTTAAGTTACTATAGAGCAAGTCTTAGCATGACAATTGTGAATATAGTAAATGTTGACTGGTAAATAGCGAGATGCAGGCGAATAGTCCACTGATCTGTTTTGAATCGCCTTTCTTGTTCGGTGAACTTTTAAGTTCTTCCCCCAGAAATGGAAAATTATTTTTAATCATAATATAACTAAATTCAACCCCGTGGCCAAATTAGGAGAGGGGAGGTACTAGGCTTTAACCGCCTGCCGTTGAAAGTCTTAACGCCGTGGGTTTCCTTAACTCTGGAGGTGGGGGCAGTGATGCTCTAGCTAAGAGTTGCTTCGCTCGGTGACTTTGATAAAGTGTGGTAACTTAGTCTCTGCAGTAGTTCTTTTCCTTAATGTCAAAATTCTTGTATTTTGGGGCCACTAAGGATCTCTCGTAGCTTTGTTGGTTTACTCGGGGGTGGAAACGGTAATAAACCTCTAGCCCAGTTGTTCCTTAACTCTTTGCAGTCACTGCAGATTTTTTCATAGGCCTAAATGGCCCCTACACTAGGTATTGAACAATTTTGTAGCAACATATCCACTTGCTGGACACCCCCCCCCCCCCCGGTAACCTGTACACTGCCTCAACTTAGGGCCCCTACATATTTAAAGGGCCACGGCCCCCAGTCTGGGAACCATGGTTGGTTCTTAACTTTATTAGAAATGAGTTACCCCCCCCCCCCTCCTACCTCCAGATTACTCCAATTCCCCTGTATACTCTTCTCAGACCGAAATACTGTACTCACCGACCCTTGTCCCGCTCAGAATATTAAACTGGGCATGAATAAAACTGGTCTGTTACGTCACGCATCTTGTGCATACCATGGGGGGGGGGGTTGGACTTAGTCTCGCTTAGCTCAGGGTTAAGCTACTCGAGTAATAAAAATAATTAACATCTTTATTGACAATTACAATTTTGCCTAATCTGAGGATTTTAATAAGTGATTTTTTTTCTTGTGAGGAACCAGTACGACTTCAAGAAATTGTCAAGTTTCACTTTGTTCCTGGTTATTTATACGGATTAATTGGTTAAACAGCTGGTTTAACTTCTTCCTAGTGTCCCATACCCCTATTACTTGGCTTCTATGGGAACCAAATAATTTAAAACGTTCCAAATTGGAAAGATACTCGTGGAAGGACAGATGGGGTTACCGTCTCCTGATGGTTCTATTCACTTGGCAGTAAATAAATACCCCATTAGTTGGTAAACTGTTCAGGGTTTCATACTAGATAAGTATACTAGTTGTCCTATGAGGGGCGGGTGGGAGTTGAGACTAATAAGCTTCCCATCTTCAACATTGGTGTGACAGTCTGCTCCGAAGTCTCTGGCTGAAAGAAATCTTGATTATTATGGTCGTAATTAAAGTAGATGCATACTAGAAGCATCTTTTGTCCAGTTAAGATGGCTTTTGATCTTACGGCTACAGGGTCCGTAATTACCTTGCTGGAGCAGTGGGTTCTGCACTGTAGATAGACCACGCTTGTCTTCTAACAGGAAGTCTAAGTATGCAGTAGTTTTGGTGTTTATATTTTCTCCCTGGTAGCAGTGGCATACAAGGTGGTGTATGTATAAAACTTGTCAATAGATTACCTTAGTCCTGAGCATCGCGAGGGTCTAGGTATTGTTGCTGGTTGGAGAGTAAGCACCTGTGGTTGTCTCTAACCTTTCACAGGTGGAGGCCTTAAGCCCAACACCAGACCATGGCAGATTACTGCTTAAAACGCTATAAATAACCATACCTGCTCCACGTATGAGAAACTACTACAGCTGTCAATAACAGCCATATATAAGCCCTATAAGAATCTAACCCATAGTCAATATGGCTACACCAGAAAAGACGAAGAATTTTGAGGCCAAAAGTCACTTGACAAGGCTACTCAACAAATGATAACTAGATAGAAGTGGATCCAGTTGATATCATGAGGCTAGGAATCTCAAAGTGGCTAGCCAAAAAAATCGAACTAGTAAAAATGAAGTTTTATAGAAAAGAGCTCCTTGTCAGTAACTGACAGATGAAATGGATTTAATCGAATCTGACCTTGCCAACTATGAAGACGAAATTCAGGCCAGGTTAAATCGTTATAACAAGGTGCTAGCAAGAGAAAATATTCCTGCTGGGTTGGAACTCTTCATAGTAAACCCCCACAAAGGAAAGCATCCAGCTCGTCAGATAAAATGAGCAAAATCAATGAGGATACTCTTAAGTTAGGTCCTTACACTGGATCAATAATAGAGGTAAAAACCTCATTCTCTACAGCCTCATCCAACACAGCTTTACCCAATGATACACTAACAACCTGAATAGTTTTCAGAAAAGTTATCCACATTCTATCGATTCGGAGAACTCGATACATGAGGCTACTGAATCATTATGCCTCAAAGGTGAACAGAGGAAAGTAAAGCTGAGGCTGAAGATAAAGCTGAAATTAAAGATGAAGCTAAACCAGACTATTTAAACCAAAATAGTGATAGTCCTAATCACTCTAACCCCCTAGAAATAATGGTGATAATGATAGCACTAATGAAGCTATCAAAGTCTAAGAGAAAATGCTGACAAGAGAAAAGGCTATCATAAATCTCGTGCACCAGTTACTGGACTTAACCCAGCCAGATCAATAGGTCGACTCCTTGCAAGCCTTTAGCCTAAAACTAGTCACTGCTAAAATCATTCAGCAGTGAAGTGGATCAGCCCACTGATCAGTGGATGATTAAAATTGTCATGCAAAGAAAATTGTCAAAGGTGCTAAGAGTTATATTAGAATCAAAATAACACCATCCTGACCGTGCAGGTTATCATAGAAGGGTTTGCGTTCAGTCGTGAATAAGACAGACCAGACATTTAAAGCCTATGCTAAATCTACAGAAAAAATACCTACACACAATACTTTAAAAGGTTCAGTTAGTCATTGGGTAATAAGGGTACTAACAAGCAATCTAACATTCACAGGTTAAACTGATTAGACCTAAAGGTACAAAAAGTACTCCAAAGAAACGACCAAAAACTTTCAAACCAAAGTTGAAGAAACAAAGCAGTAAGTACATGAAAGTAGCAAAGCCCTCGAAACCTTGTTACTGTTTCACCTAAACCGGTGACCCTTAAACATGCTGTAGGCTGAGGGTTATGCCTGTTTTGCCATAAAGAACATTCTCTAACTGTAAAAATTATCCAAAGTCAAGACTCGAACAGCTACACAGATGTACCAGGTGACTCACAGCTGTGAGACCCCCACTGAACACCTGCAATAGGCGTCAATGGAGCCAGCATCGTGCTACACTGTACAAATGTTGAACCAAAATATTCAAACACCAGGGTAAGAGATAAAAAAAATATACAAAAGTACAGTGCTGCAAGGTGCGAGAAAACCACAGCGTACAATCAGACATTGCAAGTTAATGCAACATTGCCCACTGCCCAACTCCTAGTCAGGGATAAAGGAGCCAAGATCGCCATTCGTGGCCTATTCGCTCGAGGGTCCCAGAAAATTTTAATCACACAGAAAGCAGCAGAGGCACTTAAACTAAAATCGGTAACACAGGTTGAATTTAACCTGTCAGGGTTCATGATAGAGGACCCCAAGAATACGCAGTAGTCCAACCACTAGTACTCTTAGACGGTTATGTCAGACATTTTCAGGCCATAGTAGTCGATCATATCCCATTTGACCTAACTGTTAAGGGTCTAGGGAACACGGCTAGATTACTATGGAAAAATGGAGTTAGTGGCTGACTAGCGATAACGTCTATCCGCCTCGCCAGAATAAATCTACTAGTAGGGGCAGACTACTACCAGTTTATTACTGGTCGAACTAAGCAACAGGGGCATGAATCTGCTCAGATCAGTAGACTGTCTACTGACAGGTTCAGTTATAAACCTGAAAAAGCCTATGCCTGATAACAATTGATATTAATAGAAATTTAAACTCTACTGAATAAAATTCTCCAGCAACAAGCATAAAGAAAAAACTGATTAAATAAACCCAGATTGAGTCTGGTACAATTAATATTAGCCGGGATGTTTCTATGGGTCTAGGGGATAATGTGGCCAGCAGCCTAACAGTTGCAAGTCGCAGCGACCATGCCACTGACCCCCATTGTAGACCCAGAATTATTCTAAGACAGTAATAATTGACCACACTAGCTACTCTAATGTAAAACAAAGCTAGAAAATTCTAGCACCCTAGGAATCTCTCGGGAAGATGAAATCGTAAAGAAACTTCCATACCTGAAAATCCCACAGTAAAAGTAAAATGTGAACTGGTGCCAAAGATAAGCCCCCCCCCCCCCCCCAAAAAAAAAAAAAAAAAAAAAAAAACCTAAGATTAGTCTTCACAAGACCGCATTTCAGTTTCTCTGAAATAGAATTTTATTAATCCACTTAAAGAAATTTCCACTTGCAGTGTTGCATCAGTTTTGTTTGGGGCCACGTCTTTGCTTCTGCCCTTAAGCAACCTTAGAAAAGATTTTTGAAGTGTCTTTAGCACAAGGAAAAATGGAAGACTTGCAATAGTCTAAGTGAACATGTAACAAAACTATAAACTGTGAAACACACAGGTTGGGATAATCAGTTACAAAATGCCTTCCAAGAAAGATTGGTCGTAGTAAGTTAAATTTTTTCTAGCAACCTTAAGATTCTCAACATGATAAACAAAATTAACACTTAGAGTTGCTGTGATCAGTTATGCCTCGAAGGTTACAGCACTAACTTAACATGCTTAAAACGAGCAGACTCTACTGTTCACACATAAAAGATTAAAGTTATGTGCCTAGTTATACCTAGAGGGTTATACCACTGTAGCCTAACCTGTTCACAAATGAGCAGTCTTAACTGCTCACAAATTAGCTAAGGTGACACTGTTGAAGAAATGGCCAATAGTCACAATTAGCATTAACCTTCTACCAGAGTAGATTTAGGGACATTAAAGCCTTTACTTAAGTTTAGGAAATTAGGGTCTGCAGAGTACCAGCCGAGTCTGTACTCAAAAGAAATATAGCAATTAATACTGGTTTAAATTAAATGTTTAATGATAAATGGGAAAAATATCATCATTTAAAGTTGAGGCTGAATTAATGAGTCATAAGTGACAAGCCTGTGAGCTGTAACCTAATAGTCACAACGACTAAGCCACTGGCCTCACTGTCTAATTTTTTTCTTTTTAATGAATAAAAATGCTGTTCTCTAAAGCTAAATATTAAATTTAGCTAGCTTAGAAAGTTAGTAAAATCATGCCGTAATCTAATGTCTGGAAGGACTGATTTACAATAATGTAAACTTATTTATTTACTTATTTTATTTATGCATATAAAAATGTACATAAGGAATGTGAGGATACAAATATGGTAATTAGTCTTGTAAAGCCACTAGCACGCGCAGCGTTTCGGGCAGGTCCTTAATCTAAGAAAATTTTAAGGAGATAAATACTTGCAAAAATTATAGACAAAAAAATAACATTACATGAAATGAAAAAAAGATGAGAGAAAATTGTAGGTACAGTATATTAAAGCACATAGGTAGCAGAGATTGATTGCAATGACAGCTTGAATGGTAGTTGACAAAAAATTGGTAGGCACAATACAGCAGAAACTTAAACCACATTTAATTCTGAATAAGTGCAGACAATTCCTAGTTTGGAATTCCTAGGATGTTTCATCTGGTAGTTTGTATATTAGAATAACAAGGCTTAATTTTCATCTGATTAAAGTACCTGTACCAGTTCAATTTGGCTACAGATAGTCCATTATAAGCTCGCATAGCCCGTGCTCCTTGAAACTTTGTTCAGAGTAGATGGATCTAAAACGGCAGTAGCTACAGACTGTTCTTGGTGGATAGGTTGCATCATTCACATCAAACTTCCGTTCCACAGGTGATGAAGAGTGGTATGAAGGACGCGGTGGTGGAGGCTGGCGTCCGCCTGCGCGGAGCTCTTCGTCAGGCCGGCAACTGGCTGGTCGACGGGCTGAGAGGCTATGTAGAGTTCGGCAATCCCAGCATCAACCCGGGAATGACCGGCTTCCGTGAGGCGGAGAACCTCTACTACCCTTACTGTGCTACGCTTCCTTACTGAGCTACACTCCCTTACCAAGTCCCAGCGCCACTCTTCTCGGCCGCTACTGACCGCCTCTTTTGCGTGTCGTCATACTGTGATACGTTTTGCCTTAAAGTTTTTATTGCCTATTTTTGCAGTATAAATATAAATATTTTAATGATATTTTGTTCTTGAATTTTCCTAAAATGTAGGATATGATAGACGCTGTACAGAATTTTCATTTTCCAAGTATACTGTAATGATGTAGGTTGTCCCAGATCATTCATGACGGGGTACTGTGTATGAACCTGGAAATGGGTAAAGGTGTGTTTCCCCTGCCACTGCTGAAGTTTAGCACCCACTAAATGGGTGATTAAAGTGTTTATTATGTATTTGGTAATAAAGTAGCCACTTCATAACGCTATATAGTCCAATTAAATGGGTTTCTACCAATAGAAGCTAAACTAAAGTAAATCTTGCCTCGGTGTAGGGGCACCAGTCTGTGGACGATGATACATCTCCCGCACTCCCATTTAATAATGGACGCCCACAGGGTAATATACTTTGTTCACTCTTGATGTATACATCAATAACCACGCAGCAAATTGATTGTAAACTGCTCCCTATACGGCACTCACGGGATGTGTATGGGGGATGGGTCCCCTACCCCTCGCTGTATGGGTATGTTGGGGGGGGGGGGGGACCACCAACTCTTGCGGTCAGGATTTTGGGTGGAATTAGGGGTAAACTGAAGCAATAGTCAGCAGCAGCAGCAGCAGTAATAATGTCCCTACAACATGCAGGTTCTGAAGGCGCTACATGGTCAGTGTCGTGCTGCGTGTCGTTCCCGAGGACCGCCTTAATCCTGAACTGTATCTTGGATGGTAGCAGCAGGACCCATCCACGACACTGCCATTGAAATGTCCAATTTTAATTATTACACCCTTAATGTATTTAACTTTTAATGCAACACTGCTGCACTTGTTAATAAATTAGTTTGTCCCTAGCTTCGATTAAATACAAATGATTATATTCTTTGTAGATATTATTTTGAATGTACAATTCTAGGAATCTTTGAATCTGATGCATTTTCATATTACTCGGTTTGTCCTTTTCTCGTATTGGCATACTGTGATGTTTAGCTCCTTTATGAATATCCAGCGAGACTGATGGCGCTACGTAGGCTACTCGGCTTGGTGCTTTCGTTCGATAATTATTTAAAGATTTGTTCCGTTAAATGTGGAAAGTAACATTTACACAAATTCGCGTATGCTTTTATCCTAAATATGACTACTAGTTTGCTGCGGTTGTAAATATTAAATATCTAATGTTACTTCTGAGGCTACAGAAACTGAATTGGAGATCTGCCCGTCATAATCATTGCTTTGGTGTTATTTACAAACTTGTAGTATTACAGTAACTTCTCACTGTATAGTTAGACCAAAAAAGTTATTCAAATTGTCCCGATAACGCTTCGCGCGATTAGAATAATTCAATTGTTAAATACTTTATATCCTAAAATGGCTCCAGATTATAATCAAATTATCCATAATATTAGCAGGAAGGTCTCTAAAATGATGTACGGTTCAAACCAATGACTTGTTGCCAAGCGCCAAACAATTAGAACTGCTATTACTTAGTCTAATGACCTGGAGAATTATAAAGGTCAAAACAGTTTATTGATCAACCAGCAAGAATAATTTGAGTGGACATTATACAATTAAATATATCGGTATTTCTTAAGTTTTAGCATAACTTGGTTCTTTTAGCTTCAACACAAGTGTAAATATTTGACATTTAATATAAACTTGTTAAACTGGCCAAAATTATTTAATAAAGGTATTTTTAAGTACAAATTCTATTGTTTATCACCAGAAAAGTGTTAAGATCAGTAAATTGAGTACACTTATCGTAGTGTCGACTTGTCCTGGTGAGAGCCTCACGTACGACTCCTGGGACAGGTGAGGGTTGCCTTGTGGCCCCTGTCCTCCCTCAGGGTGTTGAACGTGTCCAGGTGTACACCCGTAGGGATCTTGTCCCGGTCAAGACCTCTCGCTGGAGGGGCTGCCCTTGGGGGGTGGTTGGGTGTCCAGGCTGCGGCGTAAGGGAGAAAGGTCTTTGTACCAGTGTGGGAGAGTGTAAGAGGTAGGACTCCCCCTGTTAAAACGGGAGATCCCTGTTGGGGACTACGTACCCCCTCCAGCACTGGCCAGCGCTCGGCCTCCCTAGCAGGTGGTATCCCTTGGCTCGGACCCCGTTCTCGCAAATTCGTAAAGTCAATATTGACTTATTAACTACGTGCATAGGTGATATACTAAACATAATAGATACCCTTAAAAAGATTCATAGAAAACACCGACCTTACCTAACCTTGTTAGTATCTTAAGATAAGCATCTTATTGCTTCGTAATTACAATTATTACTTAACCTATATTATAGGTTAGGTAATAATTGTAATTACGAAGCAATAAGATGCTTATCTTAAGATACTAACAAGGTTAGGTAAGGTCGGTGTTTTCTATGAATCTTTTTAAGGGTATCTATTATGTTAAGTATGTCACCTATGCACATTTAAGTCAATATTGACTTATTCAATTTGCGAGAACGGGTTGCTCAGACCAGTCTTATAATTGATGTATGGAAACTGAACAGACTACTCCTACCCAGGCTCTTGGGTAGGACGACCAGGCCCCAGTCTGTGCTGGAAGGCTGGGCTCGGCTTCTGCAGACTACCCCCTCTCTGCTCCCCCTCCCACCTCTGTGGCCGGGTTGAGTTCCAAGCCCTCCTGTGGTGATCACCTGGAGTGCCGCAATCTTTCATTGTAAGAATTGCTCATGTTTACCCCCCCCCCCCCCGTCTTACGGGGGGGGGGGTGATCGGCGCCGTCACATCCACACTCGCAAGATTCCTTCCGGTTGTAATGCATTAAAGTTTTTTCGTACTGCAACGTGGACTCAGTATTTTTGTCATGTTAATTCTAAGCGTTCTCATTTATTAATCTCTCAACACCTCGTTGATTCGGTGGAACCATAGTCATCTTTTCCCCTCCCCGAGGAAGCCGTCCTCGATTTAGAGCACCGCAATATTTTTTTTTTTTTTTACTTTTTTTTCTTCGAAGCGAGACAGTCCGCAGTCTCTCCCCTGTTTTTAGATTTAGATTTTCGGAACGAAATGCCCACGCAGCACATGCTATAGTGAGCCCGTAATAGTTCAATTATTCACGATAACCTTGTTACTGTGATATTTGGATCAAAGTTGTAAATGGAGGTGGGGTTTCCTCTTCGCCAGTTTCTTTGTCACTTCTGTTTTAGCGCACTGGTTTTAGTCTTGTTTTAATAACTTTATCTTGGTGGCGGATTTAGATGCGGAATATTAATTGGTGTCCCATTCTTCAACTGCTTTTCTAATCATTGTAGTTGCTGTGGAATTTGCTTCTAATGCAGCTGCTCTCATTGGATTAATGTAGTTTGATGCTCAGGGCTTCAGTTGCTTCACATTCCAGTAAGTAATGCAATAGTGGCGCCTCTGCTTCTGTTCCACAGATATGATACACTTAACTATTGGGCTTATTACCTCCCAGCAGCACTTGTAACAATTTGAGTCTGTGTATGGCTACTGCAATGTCTCTGGATATCTTTTTTTTTTTTTTTTTGCCAGGCTTGAAAGAGGAGTACCCAGTGGCTTGTTTGTACCATATCGCAGTGGATCTTCCTTCTGCTACTTTGGCTCTGTGGCGATTTTTGATAATTAAGAATTTTCTCAATTTGCTATTAATCTGAAAAAACTTGGAGGTATTTGAACTTGTACAACAGGTAGAGTAGTGGCAGTTTTTGCTAGTGAGTCTGCCATTTCATTACCATCTATGCCAATGTGACTTGGTATCCAATTTAGGGTGACTGACAGCCCTAGATTGTGGACTACTTTTCTGTAGGATTTGTGATAAGTTGTATATTATCTCTATGCTGGCTGGATAACAATGTCTGGAGCGAAGATTTAGTCGGTATGAATGATTGTAAATTAGTCTCAATTGTATAATTTATGGCCTCTTTCAGGGGATGTAATTCAGTTTGCAATGTTGAGCACCCACTATTCATGCTCCAGTAAGCTTCATGGTTGCTAGTGTAAACTGCTGCCCCAGCAGAACTTTTCTTGATCAACTGATCCGTCTGTGAAGATCCTGGAAACACAAACCGTAAGTCCCCATTTTCCGCTTGTTATAACTTGTAATAGTTGTTACATCTTGGCTTAACGTGTTTATGACGTATTAGAACGTTACAACTTGCTATATTGGTTATAACTTATTAGGTGTTAAAACTTGTTCGAACGTTGTACCACCGTCGTAGTTTCGCTGTGTGCGCTGGGATGCGAGTCGTTGTGGGTCTTGGTTTCCATTTGTTGTTCTATGACTGCTTTGAGCCTCTGCGGGTCACATGCTGATTTTTTAACTGGTAATCCTTCAATAATTATCTTTAGACAAGATTCTTCCCATGGAGGAGGCTGTCGGAAGTGTTGATATGGTCTATCTTCCCCTTTGTTTTTAATGCTCCGTTTAAAGTCCACTTTCTATAGAATCTTGACCAGATTATCCGTCCATGCACTTGTTCTATATTGAAGGTTTCTCTGAAGCGATCTGTGTATGCTGTCTTTGATTGACAGTTTGGCGGTGGTTCCAACAAGTTTTGCTGTTATGGTGACTATTCTTTGTTTGATCCTGTTCTATAAGGCTGGTAAGTTGGTTTCCATTCTTAGATTCTCTCTACGCGTCCATATAGGTGCTCCCAGCATTGTTCTGAGGGCATCATTTTGAGACTCTTCCAGTTTCTCCCATTGGTTATCACTGAGGGATGTAAGAGCAGGAGCACCATAGTCAATGAGTGACCTAACTGCTGGAACGTAGTACATTTTGAGTACTGGTAGAGATGCACCATCTCTAAGACTGGTCAGGGAGCGCAAAACTGAATTTCTGGCTTTACAACGGTGCCGACGATATTCAATTTCTTGGGTGAATTTCATCTGGTTGTCAATTATAACTCCAGGGTATTGAAAAAATAAAACGCTCAATTTCGTGTCCTTGTATTGCCAGTCTGATGTCTTGAATTTTTATTTTAACGACCTTTGCTTTTGTTTTGTTTATGTTCACTGCTATGCGTTCCGCTTCCCTGCTGGTGTCTAGGCCTTTCTT